GGGTCAGCTCCGCGGCACCCACTCGAGGAGGGCTCAAGGCAGGAGGCAGACGCCGGGGCTGCTCCCCCGTTGAGCACCGGGCGGCGGCACCGATGCCCTCCGCGCCTCCCTCCTCTCTCGGCGGGGCAAACGCCCGCCGGCGCGGGGGCTGCTACTCACGTAGCCGGTTCAGAGGCATTATTCAGGACGGGGGCGCAGTGCCCGCCCCTTCCCCTCGTCCCTCTCCTCCGCCCGGGACGGGCAGGGCCGACCCCTCGCCTCGTCCTTACAGCCACCGGGGACGGAGCGGGAAGGGGAGCGGCGACCTGTCAGCGACGCACCGCCCCGGCGCCGCCGCCGGCTGGGCACGGCAGGGCACGGCACCAACGGCTGAACCCCGCTGGCCTTGGCAATTTCTTTGGACGGGGAGGCCGCCGAGGGCCTTCGGGGCAGGCGGCGGCTGCTGCTGTCACCCCGGCGGGCGAGGCACCCGCTTCCATGAGCGAGAGTCGGCCCTGCGCCGCCGCCATGACCCGAGGGAGCCGCGGGGCACCTCAGGGGAGCGGAGCTGGGGACGGGGGGACATGGCCACAGCCGTGGCGCGGGGTGCGGCCGGGGAGGCACGATGCCCTCCTTGCCTTCCCGGCCGCTTTGCCCTGTGGTGGTGTCGGGGAGGCCTGGGCAGCATCAAGGCCTCGTGGCCTCTTTGGCAAAGGCGGCGAAGGAAGGGCCTGTGGGATTTGGGGAAGGGGGATTCATTGGCCAGATCCTTTTAAGCCAAGGAGAAACACCCGTAGATGCCACCTAAAAACTCCAACGTAAAAGGTAGTGCTAAAAGTTATTTTCCACAGAAAGAAACAACTGGCCGGCGGGATCAAAAGGAAGGCTCGAGTGCCACCTGGCAGCCTGTTCAGAAAGCTGTTTTCCCCCAGATCTCAAAATGAACCACTTATTTTTAAGTCAGTTGAACCCAACGCAGAAAGCAAGCACCAAGGAAGGAAGGGCTTGTTCCTGGTGATGGCCAGGGTCTGCCTGGTGTTTCAGCTGTGGAGGCTGTGGGGCCGGGCACCCCCAGAGCCCCTTCCTCTTTCCTTCACCCACCACCGTGGCACCAGGGCGACACAAGCCCCGCCACGGCACCAGCCCACCCAGCCGAGCCCTTGGTTCATCCTTTCTGGCGGTGGGCCCTGCCGGCGCTGCGAGCAAGGTATCATGCACCTTCGCCTGGATGTTTTCCTTCCCAGTGGAATAGTTTTGTCGGTCCCCAGTTCCCATCACCCCACCACAAAACCTGGCGCCGATGGCAGTTGGGATGTGGGGCAGCCCCCCTGCTCCTCTCCCGTTCCCCAGAATCCCAGGCCAGGTGTAAGGAGAGTGAAACTACAGCATGGTGCCAGCAGCCTTCGTTTTCTAGCCTGTGACAGGTAACGAGACAAAGGCATTGACCAGCAGGAGCCCCACATCACGGGCTTGCTTTTCTGTTTTTAAAACTTCCAGTTTCCAATGTGCTGTGGTTCATGGGTGTTTCCAGGCCTGTGTGGGAGCCAAGACCTGCCAGGACCAGCAGCCCTGACCCTGGACCGAGGAATCACAGCTCACATCAAAGACAGCTTCTAAGGACAGAAGTTGCCACTCAAATACATTCAGGAAACTGACCTAAAGACCCACAAGTTGGGCAAAAACCCAAGCAAGGAAACTAGTGATTTCATTTTGAAAATTGCTCAGACTACACTGTGAATTAGCATTTGCCTTTTAAACTGCCTGATTTAGTTTCCCTTAAGCTCCTCCATTCCCTCTGCTTCTAATGACGCACAGAAATTATGTTTAGTTAAGCAAATAAAATAATAAAATCCTGCAGGAGGTCACATACCGGGACCCCAGCCAGTCTGGGGCTTTTACCTTTCTCCCAGGAGACCCATGAAAGCTGTAAATGTTTCCAGTCCCTGGAGAAGAGGTGTTCATTGTCCTTGTCTGCAAGTGGGATGTTGTCATATCCTGTATGTGGCAGGTAAAACCCGAGGGTGTAATTGCTGCTGGTTATTTTCAAATGTACTGGAGCTTGCAAATGAAAAGCAACATCCAATAAAACCTAGGCGTGTGAATAATTAAAGCTGTAGCATGGGACATACAAACTTAAGAAATGAAAAGCATAGGACACAAAGGAAAAGGAGCTACAAGTGGGCAAGAGACAGTTAAGAACAACACTGTTCTGGGTTATTTTTCCAAACATACAATTATTTCTGCAGGAACAGTTATACTGCAAGATGGCACATCAGAAAATAATGTCTATGCTAATAAATGATTGGAACTATTGAAGAGTGCATTTCTAGCCTTTGAAGTAAAACCCATGCGTCTTTAAAACCAAAATGTTACAGTTCGTCATAGCCAAATGAAAAATTCTGGTACTTTTGTTAAAGCAAGGAAAATTAACTAGGACTCGGGATAATCTAATTTCAAAATAAATTCATTATATGAGCATTGGTGGGTCACGGGTTCCATGGATAAAGATTTTAAGCCCCTAGGAGCTTTGTCACTGACTTAACACCTTACTGTGAAACAGCCCCATCATTAGCAATCAGTATCTATTGCATAACTGCCAACTTACTTGCTTTTACCCACGGGAAAAATGTAGCAGGTTACTCCTTTTTCATTACTGCATTGAACTACACCCAGGCATTTGCTACAAAACCAGGCATCCTGGTAATTGGTTTGCCTGGCTGCCAAAGCCCAGGGATCCAGTAGTCTCTAGCTGAGGGGATTTTAAATATGAAAGGACTAGGAAACTTTAAAATGTTTTACTTCAGGTATCTCACTTGTGTCTGCAAAAGAAAAATGATAACTGTTCTTTCTTTAGTAATTAATCAAAGATGTGGGCTGCAGAACACTTTTGAAGTATCATTTCTGTTCTTGTTCTGTAACCATCCTTTCTGTAATTCGAAAGCTTAGAGAAAAACTTTCAAAACATTAATCTTCACTCTCGATGCTTGTAAGACTGTAAGACCCTTTGCTGATAAGCAGCACAGGAAATCTATTCAAGCAACAAATGACTCTTGCAGACACTAAACAGAACAGGTGAGTGTATGTACACAGTGCTCGTGTGTTAGTCTTGTCTTATCATCATAGAAGTCATAGTCCTTGGAGAAAGTTTATGGGCATTAGCTAGCACTGTAAAATTACGACAGAGCAAGTTCCTGCTTCCCCTTTGAGCTTCTATAGCTCCGGAGGTGTTTTCTGCATCCACCCCACTTGGCTAACAAATTAGCAAAAGTGTCATTCCAGTCCTCGTTTAAATGTTTTTTGCTCACCCACAAATGCCCAAGAATGTATTTTTAATCATGCTAGGATGAGTTAAAAGAATTCGATGATTTAAAATGGAGGCAGAGTTTTTAAGGCAGAGAAAGAATAGTGTACCAAATCTTTGCTTGTAGAGGTCACAAGGACTTCAAGGGCTACAAGAAAAACTAGACCACATACATAAAATATGCAACTGATGTTTAAATTAACTAATTTTACCTAAGACTGGGGACAGATAAGAATATACACATGGACGATAGGGGTGGCAATGTGGAAGAGCAGTTCTTTAAGGTGCTGTAACTCAGCCATGCTTCACTGTGTGCCTATGCTCATAATTCAGGTAGAACCTCAGCATCCTGAATTGTGGTAGTATGAAGAGTAATGTGGAGAAATAGCGAATTAAATATATATTTTAATACAATGACTTTTTAATTATTTTTTTCTGATATACCTAGAACATCATTATGAAACCTGGGAGCAAATACTTAGAGCAAGATGACAGCTTTCAGCTACTTCTTTAGGGGATATCTTAAAATCTTAACACTGTCCCCCCAGGTATGCAAAAATAGACCGTATAACAGAAGGCAAAAAGCAAGCAATGCTTACTTTTAGTTGATAGGCTAGGAAACCTGTAAAGCCAGTGAGTCTAGCTCCCAGTACGTTGCTGGTCTGTTTAACAATCTTAAACAACTTACAACTGTTTAAGGTGGGGCATATTTGTGTGCTTTTTTTATGCTTTGTTAGTTCAGAGGTATATTAGGAAAATATATTCAATTTTACTTCATCCAGATAGAAGACGTTGACTGGCAAAGTTTCCTCAGTAGTAGCACCAATAGATCAATATATTATGGGTCAAGATCTAATAATCTTTAATACATAGTGATCTAAACTTTTCAGAAGAGTAAGGCAAGGGGTGAGGGGTGGGAGGGAGGGACAAAACGAGGGAGAGGAAAATCCTTCTATTAAAGTTGCATACTTTGACATGGCTTTGCACAATCCTACAGGATCTCTGTTGTCTGATTCCTTGAAATGCTGCTGTCAGCACAGTGATTAGACCTACGGCTCCCTATTAGCACAGACCCTGTGCAGTCCCACATGGTCTACAGCCAAGTCTGGATGTAAACAATTCTGTAAGCCCACTCAATCAAATAGAGATTTACCAGAGGGAGATGGATCGGCAAGGTCCCTGGTATCAGCAAACCCTCAGCACTTGTAGCTTGACGAGACGACATCCTGTGGTATGTCCTGGAGCTCTTCCCTGATCTGTTCTGCCAACACCAGGTTTCTCAACAGGGACCCAGGCTGATGCCACCATGATGTGCTCAGGTCATCTGAAGGTGATGCTGGAGTCCTAAAAGAGCAAAAAACCACAGTAAATTCACTTTTGAAGCCCAGCCCACACACAGAGCGAGAGAGAGACGGATTTCTTTCGGACCTGTCTGCCAGAATTGGGAAAAGAGCAAAAAGGTATCACCTCACCTGTGGGCCAGGATGGCAACAGCCGTGGGCAGTCACAGCGGGTCGATATTGCAGTACAGCGTGGGAAAAGGTGGTACAAGTTAGTGAATGAAGGGGAGTATATGAGCAAACTAGAAAACTGTGTAAAAATACGTCAGCAGTTAAAAATCAGTATAAAACACCGGCTTAGAGAATGTCCAAGATATACAACAATAAAAAAATATACCACAGTAAGAATATGGACAGCTGAAGTTAATGTTAAGCTTACCATTAAAAAAACCCAACTCAACCAAAAGAAAAGTCAGTAGTATTCTCATGCACAGTCTTCAGAACATTGCTGGGTGCATGAAAATAAAGAAATTGAATAATACAATACCTTGTTTATTCATAAAAAAAGTAGTTTTATCTAGATAACATCTATAAAAATCCAGTATGTTAATATTTATATATACACTGGCAGCATAGGTTCTGGTAGTCCTGTATTTCTTAGGAAATGCTATTGAATGTCCTAGAAAAATAAATAATCAAGGTATAGGCAGATGTTACATGTAAGCCTCTAGATGGTAAATAAAATCCAAACCAGTTATTTTTAAAAAGAGTTTGTTTTGGTGCAGAAAGGGAAGAATAGCTAATGTTTACTGTCTAAGTGGCCATCAGAATTACATGTTGTCCTGAAAAATTACATCGAGCACTTGAATTGTAAACCTTCCCGCATTTCTCTGTGCTGCACTGTGGTTAGCAAAAAAGCCATATTCTTGCAATAAATTCTACTTTTGTGTTTCATACACAAACTTAGAAAGTGTTAGATGGGCCAGTTTAATGGGGAAAGATGAGCAAGCGAAGTGTGAATGAACAGTTCTGTAGTTTTGGATTCAATAAGGCTGAAGCACAGAGGGTGCTCTGAAGGCAATGGCAATTTCAGAAGCATATGGGAAGTTTAAGCACAAGAAAAAAAATTGAAAACTTCTAGCGTACTTTTGTGAACAGAGGTGTAATAATAGGTGGGCTTTCCTGAATATCAGGACAGTAATAAGCAAAATGAGTGAACTTTCCAAAATGTGAAATAAAATTACCATATTAAACAGTGGTCTTGCTTGGCCAGTCCCTTAAGTTTACCAATGTGCATACACCGTGCTACCTTTAAAGATAAAAACTCAGGGCTTAAAAATAATGGACTTTTAAAAAGAGGCTTTTAGGGGGAGAGAAGAGGGTTATTACCAAATGATCAGGAAACCCCAAGTTGAGGACCTTTTTAGGTAGGATATTTAAAAAAAGAGAAAAAAAAAATTGAAAGTGCTTTTGGTAGAATCCAAGCCAGGCAACAGAATGTACGGTGAGAGGGCTCAAAACTCTCCTATTCCAAAGACAAACCATGGGCGCCACCTCCCGGGTACCAAACAGAGAGCACTGAAACCGCCCTCCAGGCTCCCTCAAGGTAAGAACCCAACGCTGCCTGGCTGGAGGGCTGTCTTTGGGACAGGGGCATTCAATTTGTGTGCCTTCTTGAGTTACAGCTTAAGGCAGTAGACAGCAACAGTCCAAAATATTCCTCGAATTGATTCCAGATGATCAGAAGCTTCATCTTCTCATTTTAACGTTTTCTGTGCCCGACTTCTGTCCAATACTGACATGAACTGGCGAAAAGTTGAAGTGAGAGCACCTCAGTTATTTGGGCATAAGCAGGAAAAATCACCTTGGACCTAAATTTGCCTGCCTCCTCCCCTTTCTGCAGGGTTCAGTTAAGATCTAAAACAGATTTTTCTTTTCAGAGCTAAAGCCAGAAGTTAGAATTGAAAGTCACAAAGTACTAGGAATAATTTGGATGGATATAATTTATCGGCTTTGAAGTTCGTCTTAACAGGATTTAAAAAGATACACAGAATAGGTTGAAAGAATTAATCATTTATTTTAAGCAGCGGAAAATTTGGTTTTTTACATAGTGTTTATCTGAAAATGGCAAGACCTGAAAGTACAAAATATCAATTTTTGGAAAAGTCAGTAATGAGGCTTGACAGTAAGTGGGACAGACATCCTAACATCACCTGCAGACTGAATTAAAAAGACTACACCCCTTTTTTCAAAGTTTTGATCCCATTTTTTCTCAGTCATTGTTACAGCTCATCTATTAAAAAAAAAAATCAGGTGAAGAAATGCCTCTACAAGATGGAATAATTTCCTTAAAGGTTAAATCCTTTCCACACTTCCTAAATAACTATCAAATAACAGTTGATATAGTGTTAAAGTCTTAAAAGATTTCTGCATCTCCATATAAAATTTTCAATAAAAAATATGAACTGCCTGTTTCAGATAAATCTTATTCAAACCACTCAACCTTGTATAGTTTGTGCACACACAGAGTATTGGCTAGCAAAGCAATTTTTCCCAGGACATATTGCAGTAATCCATGCCTTGGTTCTATCCAGAAATTGTCAGTTGTCTTTTCAATACCACTTCAACATGATTTTCTTGAGTCCATTTCCGCGCCCCCCCCCCCCAAATTTTCCAAAGGACAGTTATGTTGCAAATACAGCGATTTAAACATTCAGCTGTGTAATTCCTCTCTAACAACACAGGAATAAACATACCCTTTGCAGGTTTGACACAACTCTGTGAAAATTTCCCTCTTCAAGGAGGGACGTGATGACAGGATGGTTGCAAACAATGTAGTTTATTCAAGTATTTTGCCTAAGTACACATCACTGTAAAATCAGAGCAGGTGGAGTTGCTCAACTGGAAAAAGCAGAAGTGTCTCAGTTAGCAAGAAGAGCCAACAGACATTAAGGGTCCACTACCATTGGTGGTAGGGCAAAAAATGGCCCCTTGAGGAACGGGCCGTCATCTACTTAAGAAATGGCAGTTAATCACAGCTCCTTGTGGTCCTCCTCTCCATCCACTGTATTTCATAAGGACAGAGAAAAGGGAAAATGTACAGGAACAGTGAGGAAGACCAAGTGGTTCAGTATTTCCAAGTGGGAAGCAAAAGAGGTCTAGGAAACGTAGTCAAGTGCACAAAGGAGTTCTTTGCACACAGACAAATTCAGGGACAACTGACATAGATGAAGTCTACGGCTCTAATTCTCCTCCTAATACTAATGCAATTATTTTTAACCTAGAGTTAATTTCTGAAGTCTTACAAATAACTTCAAAACAGGTCTGTCAATGGTCACCAAGAAAAAACATATCTTTTGTTAGAAGGCTGAATTTTGGATATAGAGGTCTTCAGCTTTTGGGTACATTTTTTTTTGGGCAGTGGGGGGAAATGAGGCCAGAAGACAATCAGAAACATCAGAAGATTTACAGCCAGTGAATTCATAGGACAGCAGCTACACTAAAATACATTGACACTGCTTTTGATTATGATAAAAAAAAGAAAGGAGAGAACACTTACGGAGGGCTACTTCTTTTTAGATGCTGAAAATTACCTTCTGAGTTTTACTTTTTGGCTAGCTTAAAAGAATCTAAAATTCCTAGTATTTCAAAAATTACCCGACCAAAGATCTAGCCAAAGCCGAGATACAGTGAAAAAAACCACCACAAAACAGTCTCATATTATTACTGTACAGTCACCCATGTCAACATGTTTCAAAATAATCTGTTTCGTTGCTTACAAACAGACTATTGCTAGAGGTGAGACATGTCACTGTGCACTTCATTATTTGGAGAAAGGAATATTCAGTATCTAGCCAATCACAGCCATCACTAGCCAATGCTACTACTTGAGAATGATCGTGCCTGGTATTCATCCATGAGTGGATAGTCCCCTTTAGCAGCAATAGCCACCTTAGAGTACGCTGGCTGGATGCCTCAGCCTTGACCTGGCAGTCTGGTAGAAGACTCAATGATTTAGCACCTCCACGCTTCACACCAGCAGCCAGCTCCATCTCACTGGAGCCCCTCGGTCAGATACTGCAAGTCACAGCAGTGGCTTTTGCAGTGCGGATCCATCTCACCCAGGGGTTCGGCTGGAACCAACAATTATATTTCAGATAATGTTCCCAAGGAGCCTTTACCAGGACTCTGGATTACTCACAAGCCTGGCCTAACGTCTAATTAGGCCCCAGAAGCCAAAAAATCTGACTGGCTCAGAAGATTGCTTGTATCCTATTACCGATCTGTCTTCACTTCTCTGAACAGCAGCCAGAGCTTCACCACCCAGAAATGAACGATTTATCAACCAGAAAGTCAAGTTTGACAGGAACTAATGTCTTGGTAAATCGTACAGACCTTTCTTAAAAGGATCAATCCATTATGCTCTTAAAATTTTTAATGAAGTGGAGGGTAGCTTACTTATTTCTCTTTCCGTAATCTCCTTTACTTTCACCTTCACAGGTCATTGTACCAGCCCCCTTCATTATGCAGCTCGTATTACTACTTATACATATGAAGCTCATCTCTGAGATATGTCAACCAACCAACACAGTTGTTGGAAAACTCTACAGAAATAAACAAAGCTTTCAGCAGCACAATCCATTCTGGATTTTCAGATAACTTAAGGACCACTCTCCCTCTGAAAAACTGGCTGTGTTAAGTAAGCCTCATAAGCCTTTTCATATTTAAAAGGAAAAGGTTAGTATACAAATGGCTCATTTTTCTGTGAAAAGTAGCCAGCCCAATCACAACAAGTAACTGGGTAGAATACCCATAGGTTGACTTTAGCTGATAAAGAGTTAACTCTTGTTAAGCAACTGATATGTTAGCAAGAAATACAAAACCCCACAGCTCTGTAGTTGCCACTAGTTAACCTGGGCAGCAGCAAAACTGGGAATTGGAATAGTATGCTGCCTTGATGTATTGTGTTTCAGTTGATCCATCAAACAAATCCTAAATACAAGCTCTCTCATCTCAAAACCAGAATAATCCCCTCTACCTAACTTCTTATACAGAACCTGAAAAAAAAAAGGCTTATTAAAATTCTTCATCTATTTTCTTCAGCATTTAAATTGAGCCAAAAAGCCCATGATAGTAGTTGTAAAACTTGTGAAGGCAGTGGGATGGAACTAACATATTCCCATGCCTGAACTCAGGTTTAACTACTTGAACTCAAATCACACATTTTCAAATCCCTAATGATTGAACTGATAGCATCAATTATCTAAAAGGCTGCATCCAATGAAACATGGCTTTTTTGACATTTTCATGGTACATGATATTACATTCACACTAGGAAAACACTGGTTCTGCAAGAAATACTGATACGTATGCAAGGAATGATCTGGAGTCCTGTGATATGGAACATGTTGTCTTCCATAACAAATAGAGAATATTTTCCAGCACCATCTTTACTCAAAGCTCTGGTTTTTGGCCCCCTCCTTTTTTTTTTTTTTTTCTTGGTATGGTTTAATCTTATCTCTGAAGTTAGTTAACAGCAGCATAAAATACCTCACAGCACTCTCCTTTAAAAAAAATATATATCAGGGAAAGAAATCACTAGTAAGACACACTTGGTAACACTGTAGTCTATCATTGTATTTCATCTTTCATAGAAAAATGCTCAAGAGCATTATTTTTCTTAATGTGCTGTAGGCTAAAAATGAACCCTCAAGGGTTTCTATTGCTCTTCTTGTTGCCAGAGCAACAAAGCAGTACTCACCTGAATATCTGCCAGTGTAAGTATCAATTTACAAGCTGAGATGAAGTTTGTGCTGCTAGCAGATGTCACTAACAGCATTGTTACTATAAGCCAAATTTTAGTGGCAAGGGATGCCACGAAAACTCAAGAATATTTTACCATTTCATTTGTGCTACTTGATTATTGCTCATATAATTCAAGTGTTTCTATTAAAATGTCTTGACCAATGACATTCAAAGTGAAAGGGCAAAACTGGACAGGTTTTATATGAAATCTAATGCGCTAAAAAGACTTTGTTAAGCAACTCAGAAGAAATGTTACATGTCATTAGAAAGCATATTAGGAACCTTTCTCAATAAATTCCTTCCTAAAACTCTTTGTGGTGAGAAAATAAGAGAGGGTGGGGAGAGGGAAGCAGCTAAGAAACATTTTAAGAGCATACAAGTGTTATTACTTTCCAAATTAAAAATGGGCTCATTGTTTACCATTGCATCAGTCCACACATTCACACTGTGTTTCTGTTTGAAACAGGTGACAGAAGCATTCCTTGTATTACCATACTGTAAAGAAGGAATACAACTTTGAAATTATTTATGTGTCAAACCAAACCCAAGAGGATGATACAGAACCAAATCACAGAATTGGAAACATCACTCTCTCTTTTAAGAGCAAAGTCTATTGCTTTAAGAAAAACTCAAGGGAACAACTTATTATTATAACGTACTAAAAATTCTAATTATAAGACATTGAGAGAGAGATGTATGGAAAATAGAACAGGGAGAAAACACCTAAGCTCTATAGTTTATTACATTCCTTATGATTCATCATTTTTCTCCCCTTAAAAATTAAGAGGCAGAGGAAGAAGGAAGCAAACTCAATATTTCCTCCTATTTCCAACTCCTAATTGCAAGAGAAATGTTTTTCGGATGTTGGATCACAACACCAATTATTTCACTCTGTTCAGATAAGCAAGCTGAAAGTGCAAGAATTAAAAAGGCAAGAAAACCCAACAGGCACTTCCAGTTATGAAGTGATATACACAAGTTAGTTTAAAAACAACAGTGCTTTATTTTCACACACATTATGTGCACCTCTGTAAAAGCACCAATCCTGAAAAAAAGAAATCTTTGCTTATTCCATGCAGAGTCAGATGCAGAGGCAGTGTGAATCAGAAAGCTATATGAAGGGATTATAGGCAGAAAATTTTGTAGGCAAGGGATCGGGAGATTCAGAGCAAAGCTTCATTTTTTTTTTTTCTCATTTCCCACACAGATATGCAAACTGCTCTGCTATTGAAATGCAAAGGAATTTTGTTTCCTTTTTTCCGCAAAAAAACCCAAACAAACCCAAACCAACAGATAAGTAATAGTTATATCACTGGACTCCACAACCTTGCATTGTTTCTTTCAAACCCGCTATGCCAGTGTTACAGAAGAGCAACGGAGGTCCCGCAACGCTCACTGACTAGATACAAGAAAAATTGTCCTATCTGCAAATAAAATGCCATGTTCTGACCTCCAGCATTAAGATTTACCCTTGCACAATGGAGGTATAGTCAAATACATGCTTCCCTGCTCTCTCCACCTATTGTTGTCAGTTTTACCACATGTTTGTTTACAGCCGGTCATATGCTTTTCACTTGATTGACACACTGGTGAAGCTAAACCAAACCCTTCCAACTGCCATTCAAATTGAAGAACAAGCCAGCATTAAGATTTTCACTTCACAGTCTGTCCGGGAAGACAGACATTTCTCCCTTGAACGTCTAGGTTACTGAGCTCAGCCAAAAAAAAAGCGCTGTCTTTCTCATTCTGCTGTTTCCTTTTTGTTGCAGGCTCACTAGGAACACCAAAAGAGATGGCAAAACATGGACCTTAGATTTATCATCTGTCCACATACACGCAGACCAGCCTTTTCTAAGTATCAGTCATCCTCAACTCAGAAAAAACAACAAACCCCACAAGCCCCCACATTAGGGGGAAAACTGAAAGGCTTTTTTTGTGCATCAAAGTGGAAAGTCATGAAGTATTAATTTTTATAAAATCCACTGCTTCAAAGCCAAGGAGTTGCATTTGGTTATATGGAGCGTCTTGTGCTTAAGACCAGTTCTAAGCTACATGCTTACCAGTGGTAGCATCCTTGTAAATTAAGAGAGGTAGTCTTGTTTTACACTAAGGCTGAACGAGTTTGTTTCCCAGTTTTCATTTCCTCAAACTATTTTGTAATGACACTCATGAAGGGCAACCCTCTCAAGTGGCAGCAGTGATCTTGAGGAAAAAACCCCACAAACCAACATTTCTTCTTTTGCTTTTCTCTGCTGCTTAAGTCTGACGTTTCTCCCTCCCCCGCACCATAAACACAGTTTCAAAATGAATTGATGTAAACAGAAAGCAGTATTCATTTAATGCAATTAATAAGAAAGATTATTAAGTTTTTTTCTCTTTTTCTACAGTCAGGAATTGATTAGTTAGAAAATACTGACAGCTCCTTTTTTTGTGAAAGAGGGATGAACAATTTTGTTCAGACAGTGGAAGAACGTCATGATGGGTTTTTTTCTCTTTTTTTTTTTTTTTCCTTTTTTTTTTTTTTTTTAAAGAAGGTACTGTTGAGAGCATAAAGGCTCCTTGTACTGCAGTAACAAATCCAGTACCGTAGCACTTAAAAGGTGGTTAACAGTGCTTTGGTTCAGAATCGGTGTTAGAAAATAAAGCTTAAAAAAGTTATGATGCAGGGTATTTGGCGGGATTTCAACAGCAATTTGTAATGAACGTAGAAAGGACCGAGGCATTTGGCTTCTTCCCCTTGGCAAAGGACTTTGTTCTTCATCCTGTTTGAGTCCCAGGTTTCACGATCGCGTTTCTCATTTCCATCGATGACGCACTAAGGAGGACTCGTCATTGACCACGTCATTGTCAGTGTAGCGATGCTGACACCGCGGTGGAATGAGCAGCAGGATGATCAGTACAAGGAGGATAATTCCACACAGGCTCATGAGAGCATAGGAGGCAATCCACAACACTGGTTCATGGAAAGAAACACTAGAAACACAGTTGCTTGCAACATCTGCTGTTGTGAAAGGGCCTTCAATCTCAGATACTGGAGAGCCATCAACTTCTGAGAAATTACAAAAAGAAAAACATTAAGCCTATAGATGCCATTTAAAAGAAAATAATAAAAGATCTAGCTTAAATACCTATATATCCCTTCTCCTTCATCATCACACATCTTGGTATGCTCGTGTTTTATTGTATTTCTCATTGCAATAAGAATACTACTATGCCATATTTCTAAAACGGGAATCTGAAGCAAAAGGAGATGATGGTACTCCCACAACTACACAGGCTGTCAACAAGACAGCAGACATTTAAATCCAGTTTCCCACAGTCCAAGTTAAAGCCCAAGCCACTGGATCATCTTGTTCTGTCTGGACTAACCGTTCAGAAATGACAATTTAACAAAGCTTAAAAATCCAGCAACACCTACACTGGAGCAGGTCAGGGTCTGGGCAGCTTTTTTTGTTCCTGGCAGCAACTGGAAGAGTACCTCAGATGATTCTTACCTCTTCTGCGTTTGCTATCTTCTAGAGTCTTAGGGAGCAGCATGCATGATCATTAGCTTCATAGATACCTTAAAGGACTGTATCCTAAACACAAGGTGCAGGGTGGAAAGCAGCACAGATACTCTTGTGAGTGGAGGTGAAAATTCAGAAGGAAGAGGAGGTTGAGGCAGGAGAGCTGGGTGACAGCTGTACAGAAAAGGGGAACGGTGGAGAGGAAGGTCAATGTCAGGAGTGAGGAGCTGGGACATGAAGGAGCAGTGCTGTTGGGCAGGGAGGGGAAAGCTAACCGAGCAGCTCGAAAAATGGAGATGACAAATCTAAGGCAAGAAGCATGAAGGTGTGCCTTGGCAGCTCCCGTTTTTTGAACAGCCATCCATCTCGATAACATCACAGCCTGTGTGACTTGTTTCATTACCATCACAAACCCCTACTTGTTCAACCAGTATTTGTTAAAGGGTTATGCTGCCCACGGTTGTCACAGTAACCGTGGCAAGCGCAGCAAAGTTCCCCTGAGTTGTGGACAGGGCTAGGCGTATTGTAAAGGCAGAGCAAGTGAGTTGCCTAGGGCAACAAAATACTCAGAGCATTTCCCATCTGCAGGTATGTGGCCAGGAAAGGACAGACACCTTTTAGTTTGCTTGGGGCAACTCGGAGCCTGCAGTTAGTGCTGTCTGTGCATTTTAACAAGTCTTCCAAACAGTTGTAATTCACTTTTCCAGTCAGATACTTCAAGCCACATTTGTGTATTTCTTACAAAGGCCTCAGTTTTACCTTTCCTGCTTAATCTCTTGTTCATTTTAAACACAGACACAGTCTTGCCAAATTGTAAGTGATCCTGGCTACTGTAAACAGTACCTCTTATTTACACATATCTTAGGCACGACTCCTGAAAGCACGTTTAAAGAGACTGGCATAAAATACCCTTTGGAAAGAAGAGAGAAGCCTGGGTTTTGGAAAGGCAGGAAGGTGGCCTTTAAGGTTCTTTGTGGAGAAACGAATGCAGAATAGGTGGGCTGCTTTATCTGCAATTTATTGGGAGAAATTTTAATTGATATTCAGTCCCTGGCTTCCCAACACCTCATAAGGTTTAAGTCTCATTAGACCTAATTCAACTTAATCGTGGGCTGCGGCTAAAAGAGCTCGCTGCCCTCACTTCTGCCACTCACTGTCTGTTTGTATTGGTGCTAGTGACTGGTGGGCTGCAAGGAGAGACAGGGCAACTTGCTGATCTGACGGAAAACTGACCTGTCACGACAAACAAAATGCCCAAAGGAGGAATTTTCTGTAGGATCACTCAAATGAACTAACCCTTCTCCAGCTGCAAGCGTGGGAAGCCTCCTTCAGCAGCAATAAGCTGTCGAGAGTGGGCTGGGTGAAACCTGAGGTTGCACCCACAAGCACCCTAACATCGGTGAATACCAACCACAGACTCTCTCAACTCATCAGATAGTAATAACCCGGCTCGTGCCAAGACACTACTTTGACATAGATATGGTAAGGGAGCTGCACAGAAGTGGACAGACTTGCTAGAAGGTCTGTGGCAGAAGTCCCTTTTGTTCAGAGCCCCAGTATTGCACTTCTTCTGGACGTCTCATCCTCTCACACCATTTCATCTGTCCCCGTGAAGTCCTGCAGCAAACCCAAACTACACCACGCGTAATACTAATGTGAAATGCAAGGCATAAGTATTCCTACTTAGGAATTCAGTATTTTGAAGAAGTGAAAAAAAAAAAAAAGCTGCACGATTTTCCACCTCAGAGATAGCTTTGAAAATAAACAGTCCCTAATTACTCATTATTTGGCTTGAGTACAGTAATTACTCCTATTAAAAAAGGCAATACAAAACTGTTGCCATAGTGGCTGACATTTTAAATTACATTTTGAGAATGCTTGAGTGCAGCACAGACTCTGCTTTCTTCCCTCCAAAAAGAAAAGTTTTCCCATACTCTCTTCCACCCCTAGAGAACCTCAGAGGAAATCAAAAGAGAGGAAATTTGCCTAAATTGTTCAAAACAAGCCCATAAGATATAAACTAATAGTCACACACATTAGCTGAATTAGGACATTTTGGCTTTTTTTTTTTTTTTAGACTATGTGGTGATACCTGCGTACAATAAATTCTTGACCTTGAAGAAATGTGATTTTATTCATTATTGATGATTACAAGACAAAAATGGCACCTATGGAAAATTGCTATTGTGTAACATTTCTATGCAACTCAAACACACTCACTGTCACTCACTCAGCATCTTGGATGGTATGGAAAGGAAGCAAACTTGAAGTTAGATCCAATTTATCATAAAATTGTAAAGTGCTGCTTGGAAGAACCTTCTGGATGTCACCTAGTGCAGACCCCTACTCAGAGCAGGACTGTCACCATCAATAGATCACATCAGCTGCAGCTTCATCCAGCCAGGTCTTGTAAAACCTTGAGGATGGAGGCCCCACGATCCCTCTGGGCAGCCTGTTTCAGTGCTGTACCACCCTCCTGGTGAAGAAGAAATTCCTCATGTCCAACTTCAACCACCCGGAATGTAAGAGGTGGATCTTGCCCTTTGGTATGTAGATTCACTTGCACTCACCTGATGATTACAGTGCTTGGTGCATTTCCTCCCTAAAAAATACCCAAGTCTTGCTCCTACGATCTTCTCACTTGCTATGAAATTACTGGGGGTCTAATTCTGCTCAAGTCCAAGGTGCCATTAGGTTGCTTCACTAATACTTGATCTGAACATCTTGTCTCGAGAAGGGACCTGATCCAAAACCTTTCCTAGTAGTCCTGTAAACAGTAGACTATCCCTGAAATTATCAACAGGCAACTTGAAACAATTTGAAATTAGTAACAGGCAGAATAAGTCTTAAACGGTTTCACATATTGAGGAAAAAACAAATTTATTTCTTTGCCTGCTACAATGGAATAGCTTCCTGCAGCCGTCTGTCTAACTCTCCTCACTCTTGGTACATCCTGAAGAATGAAAATGGTACAAGGAGTATTGTGGGATGTCGGTTCTCATCTCTAGCCAAGTCTCAGTAGAAACTTGGGAGTTCAATGAAGTTAAGGCTTTTAGTCCTGTTCCCCTCATTTTTGTATTCGGCACATACCAGTTTAATATCTTATATAAACATGGACTTAAATTTAACGTTAACACTCTACTGAAAACAAGAAAGCATAGATCACTGCAAAGCCATTCCAAATGGTCTTTTATATTTCTCTGTTTCTGAAGATTTACGCCGCCAGTAATTCGATTTAATTTATGCCCATGAGCAGGCTAAAAAGCTCCAAATAAATTACATTAATATAGTTGCTATGGAGGACATGGCTGGCCTCCACAGGAAGCCAGTTAGGCAGCTTAATCCCTCACACTGCACTGCCTGCTCACCACTCACAGTTGTGGTTTTCTGATGAAAGTAGTGTTAAATATGGAAACCGCAAGCTGTGAAGAAGTGAATTCAGAATATCTGGCACATCCAGCAAAATGTCATCTGCCCCATGTGAGTGGAGCCTGACAAATCAGTGTATCTTCTCTCAGTCAGTGGCTTGTGTCATCTGATTTCTCAAGAAGCTAGATTCCCATGATGCTAGGTTAGGCATATGCATGAAAAATGGACAAAGAAACAAGGAGGAAATGCCTTCTAGCACCAGCTGGGTATCCTCATGTGTCTAAGATCATGTAAATTCAGATTTCATTTCTGTTCATTTCTGTTCTTCTCTAGATGAGGCCAGCAGAACTACATTAACTGGCCAAACTCTAAGCTTCTATGTAGCAATGGTAACATTAAGGTGTTATTATGGTTCCCTGATTCTTTTCTCAACAAAGAAGTGCTGTCAAAGCAGTTCTTATGAGCACCAGCTGGCTTATATTCCCTGCTGACCATGTTGGTCAATATGTTCTGTCAAAATGACCCCTCCCCTCTCCATTAATGGCTGCAGTGGGGCAGGGACAGAAGGCAGCTCTCCACTTGCTGAAGTTGCAGTCAGGAAGCACAAGGAAGAATGAAAGGCAGGAAAACCTGGTCTGCAGTATTTGTCTAGTTACACTCTCCTTCTAGACGCATTCAAAATGTGTCTTTCATCACTGCATGGTACCTCATAGAGGTCTTCATTAAGCAACTCGCAACAATATCTAGATTTTCTTTCATAGCAACCTCAAAGATGACAATTTTGAACCCATTATCAATGGAGAGATAGGGGAAAAAAAAAAAAGCAAGCTTTTAAAATGCCCTGGAGCTACCACTCAGCTAGCTAGTGTATCTCTTTTTTCCCCTCAATTACCTGGTTGCACTAAGCACTCAAAATACTTACTGCTTTTACGCTCTCTAACATAAATACTGAGGATTAAAGAAGCACTGTCAGTCATACTCCTTTTCGCATGCAAATCTCAGATGACACAATGCTTTTTCCAGGCATAGATCACCTCTGTTTGGGACCTTCCTGTCCTCTCCCACTTGTATGTTCTTGTGGTGCCAAAGCAATATCTCAACAACAAGGGGAGGAAACCTTAAAACTTTCTGGTTTAGCTACCCTTGGTGAGATAAGGGAAATGATGAAAAAGCAAGAAAGTTAACCAGCACTGTAAAATCAGCCAAAAAGTATAAGCCTTTTGACATTTCCTCAGCAGCTAATTAAAAAATGAATGGCTTTCTACTTACACTTAGAAAACTATTTGTTTAGAAACAATGCAAACACCACAAGTCTAAATTTGAGTCCCATTGTGATCTTAGCTCTTTCTTTAAGTATTTCTGAGAGGCTGAAAAGGCCCGATTTGCATTTAGAGGAAGGAGGGGATAAGGTACTTCACTGCATATTGCAAAAGTTAGTTGAAGAATCCATTTATCCGCAAATGAGAACAGGAACTAGACAAAAATGAAGCCACATTAAAAACAGAGACTTGTCTCATGCAACTGTTGGGGAAACTGCGCACACAGACAGATGTCTCAGAAAGAAGATCTCCTCTCAGAGGGAAGAACGCAGCTAAGATACCCAGAGCTGAGGTTGATTTACTTCATGCCAAAAGGCTGTTGCATGCAATACGGCTTTTTTTTTTTTCTTCCCTCTCCTTGAAATCTGAGTATCTTGGAATCCCCCTCTCCTTGAAATCTGAGTATCTTGGAATTGCTAAAAAATATACCCTTCACACTTCATGAGTAACCATGCTTTTCCCCATCAGATAAGTGGCAAATGCATTTCTCTGAAAGAGCAGATGTTTCCTCACTCACCAAGACCTGAACCTGAGTTCTCTTACCTGCACATGGACTCACTGCAAAGCCCACTCTCCTCTGGGCTCTGTCAAATATTACGTAGAAGCCTTCCATGACTGTAGCACCAATAACTAGAGCATTTGTGGAGGAAGAGATGCCGAATCGGTAGCACTGTAAATTCTCTCCTATTCCAAGGATGGGTTGAATATAAAGCTATTAAGAAAAACAAAAAAAGGGAGAGTGTAAGAAGCAACAACACACAGCACTTAGAAGTTCAGGCCTTATGATTTTTATATTCAGGCACTCAAACTCCCCTGAAAATAGAGAATGAATAGGGGCAAACAGATTTCTGAACATGATTGAAAACTGGTCAAAACTTACAAGCAGGTAAGAGGTAAAGCTTAAATTTGAATACAGTCAGTCACCATGTGAAAGTCAACAGCAAATTCATGACAGCCAATTTTTATTCTGTTTTCTGTAAGGGGAGGGTACCTGAGGAAGAACTTGTGATATTAACTCAAATTAGAGAATAATTTTAGTATTAAAAAAATTATCAGAAAGGAATTGATTAAAAGACCACTTGGTGTCAGCTTCAAGGCTCTAGATTTATAAATTCAAGTCACATCTTACCCCTTGTCTCCTCAGGGAAGATGAAAGATTGCCAAGCTATATGATCAATACAGAAAAAGCTTATCATAAGGCTTTACTATATTTCAAGTTAGAATGTACTTAATAGGTTCATTCTCCCCTTTGCTCCTGACCATCCCCTGAGGTAAAAGACTGTTTTAGTAATGTTAGAGGATACTAGCCTATTTTGCAACCTATACTGGGAGGGAAAGCCAGAGAGGAAAAACAGAAGTGGCACATTATATTCTGAAAGCTGGGATGGAATATTAATAAAAGCTAAACCAACTAAGTTACAGAAACTGGTGAAGAGATCACATAGGCTCATTGCCAAGACTGTCATATTCAGAAGAAGTACTCCAGCTCAGAAGGCCATGAAAAACAAATCAATTTGCTTCCCAAAACAAGAAGATCAAAATAAGCAGAGACACTCTGTATTGACATCTATTGTGGCTAAAGCTCAGGAAAACAAAACAAAAACTTGCCTATTTTTCCTGACAACTTGAAAAAATCGCTTCCAACTACATGGACTATACTCAGAGGGAAACTTTTTTTCTTTTTTCGGTTTTAGGTTTGACAAGATTGTTATTTTCCCTATTTAAAATTTGATTTTAAAAATTTGATTTAAAAAGATTTCCCTTGCATGCAATAAACCAGTTCTCTATTACTGCTAAAAATAGCTCCTAATTTTAAAGAGCACATGCTTTATAACAGTAAAAATAAATTCCTAACTGAATAAACAAAGAAGGTTGAGACCTGTGGTAGGATAGAGATCCGAAATGACCTGCTGGAGTTTTCATCCCTCAAGTAAATGGAGAGTTTGGGAAATAAGGACCAGGGTCTTTCGGTTTTGTCCCAGCATGCAAGCTGTGAACCAGTCCAGAAACCAGAGGAGAATTCTTGAATCTATTTAAAAAAAAAAAAGTGTTACATGCAGATTACATACATTTTGATAGATCTTTGTTAATTACCACTACCACTATTTTATATTTCTTCTATTCCTATGGAGAAATTCAAGCATGAAGAAAAGTCTGACGAAGACCTTTTTCTTTAAGGATCAAAGCAAAAACCCAACACAAAAATCAAGGTGCTTCATAACCCATTATGACTTGGAAGAAGGGGGAAGAGGCAAAAGCAAGTTTAGCCCTCCCCATCTGTGTCTCCTTACTTCCAGTTCTGCAATGAACACGTATGACCTCCCTGAGCAAACAGTACCACGAAGAGGCAAAGCAACAATAGGCTTTTACTGCCTATTGGCATCTTCTCTGAACAGCTCTGACCAAACAGCAATGTTTTGAGGCAGCAGACATTTTTTTGAAAAACACAAACCAAATACAAACCAGATGAATATGTAATGGAGTCATCTTCCTTCCTCACGTACCTAGAGCTTCTTACACAACTTTACGGTTTTGAAGCCAAGGGCTAAGCCAACATCTCCTGGCATCTAACAGAATCAAAGTCTGCTATAGTCAATGGGAAGAAACATGTCCCTCTGTCTCTTTTGCTGCCTGCCACTCCCTACCAATACAACTTGACATGCTTTTGAAATAAGGATGATTAAGAGTACTTCTTAATATATCCATGGCACTAACAAAGCATAACCCAAACTCCTACAGAGCTTGTTTGCCTAAGACAAACATCTTGTCTAGTGTCCGTGCTCCCTGAAGCTGATCTGCTTCCAGATCAGATGAAAAACCTTCCTTATTTGAATGCATTACTTTACTGTAGTTGTTATTCCCACGTGAAGGAAAGCAGTATCTTGTTTTCACGCTGCACAGCAAAAGCCTGCCATTTGGGTGAAGAAGAAAGATGGAATCCAGCCTGTCCACTCCTCTCACTTGTATTTATCTGTGATGTCAATTATTTTCTAAACATATGCTCGTACATTAGTTATATGGCATTTTACAGGTGACAAGTATTCACCCCACCCCACATTCCTGCCAATGAAATCTTTGTTAGGGCTGCACAGTATTAGAGACGTAATACTTGCAGGTGCTCATCTCTGTTCCTGGGCCAACAAGTGTACACTCATGTAAACACACAATGAGACTTAGCATCATAAGCAGACCCTTAACTCTGAGTGCCTGCTGAAGAACTTGTCTTGGCACAGGCCAGAATACTCTGCCCATCATAGCTAAGTCCCAAGCTGGACCTGCTGAAAAATATAGTTCTCCTCTGTTTCCATTTTCTCTTGGAAAGCAGAGCTTATGATCTGAGGAAAACTGCAAGATAGCACCCAGACTGAACAGACCAAGTCTATAAAGTGCTCTATTTTAAGTGCCTACTTTATTTCCCAGAAAGACTGCTTATTACATTGCATTTCTTTGCCTTACTTCTGTACGCTGAAGAAATGCATTGGGGGGGATTTGGCTGTATGATACCTAAAAGGTTATTAAAATAAAGATATGAGGTTTATTTGAGCCCTCCTTTCTTCAACTTATTAACTTAGCATTATATTAATGCTGTGAGTAGACTCACTGTTCTGACTTAAGCTCAGTGAAGTGTAGTAGCTGCCACCCCTCTTTGGCTATCTCTGCCCACCTGGCAAAACCACCACCTTTCAGACCTGCCAACATCAAACAGCATCTGTAGCTGCTCCCTAAAAGACTTCAGTCCAAATAAGTAAGGTTTAAAAAACAATCTGCACCACTAAAGAGCATAAAGCTCACAACCTTGATTTTTAATGGAATAAAGGAATACTTCACACGCAGTTATCCCAGCATATCTGAGGGGACAATAACATCTTCTTGGGAAGCTTGTAACAAGCTGCTAGGAACAGGAACTTGTTAACCTGGTTCACTTGTGGTCAAAGAAATATGTCTGACTACAGCAGATGATTTTATATTTCAGTGGTACATAGCCTGCCAGAAGCACAGAGTGCTAAGCATATGGTTGTGATGCCATGGTACAATTGCTGAAAATACCCATTTTCCTGACATTGCTCCCACACAGCTGGAATCTGATCCTTACATCTTGTAATTACCTTCTTATTTAATAGACTATCTCCTTTGTTTAGAGCTATGAAAGTAATTTTTGGTGTGTGCGGAGGGAAAAGGGTACGGCAGCAAGGTCCTTGAGATTAATAAGAAACCCTAAAAGAGAAGAGTTAGTTTATGCATTTTTAATAGCAAGAACAAAAAACATTAAGCAGAGTGAGTGAGTGGTTTCCCTCTAATACCTCATCGATCAATTGACCATTTACTTGTCATGTGGAAGGCCCTAGTTCAAATGTCCTGACCAGCATCACAGAGGAGTGCGGACTGCTGTGACCCACTTCACAGGAGGATGCCCTGTCCACGAGGTGCCATTACAAGAGGTCTTGGGTAGGCTTCTTTCAATTCCCCCCTCTCTCCTCCCCCATTGACTGAAATTGTTCCAGTCAATACTTAAGTGCTTTGCAAAGAGAAGAACTTTTCAACCGCGGAAGCCAAGCTTCATGAGATAGCTGATATATTTATTTCAGACACTGGACACCTGCAGGCAGTGAAGAACACTTCATGCCAAATCTCTGCTCTCAGTCAGGTAGGAAAAGGATCTCAATCTTGAATTACCAGCACACAGGCAAATACTCTGTCTCTTCGGCAGCTGGCCAACCATCTCCTTACTGTATTTCCTGTGATTTCCAATGGCTACTGCTGTCTGATTGTGAATCCATGACAAAAATATTAAAATTGTTCACTTTGAAATATCTGAGATTTATTCTTCATCTTTAACCTTCTTGGCGCTGTTCACTGTATTCAACCAAAATTTATGAGTAGTTTTTATTAACTAGAAAATGCTGTTTCAGTTACTCTACAGTCTGAGAAATCCACCATCCCCATGCCTTACTTCTAAAGGCCACTCTATTTCCAAAGAAAGACACTTTTAAACATAAATAATTCAATAATGAAGGTCAAAAGCAGCTTTATTGATATGAATAATCCTAATGAATGACATCCATTCTATACAACAATAAGAATATAATAATATAAGAATACTGTGGAAGCAACTGCTTGCAGTAGCAGGTTCTTCTACTTTATAAACACTATTTTGAAAGAAAGGACTGATTTTTGCACTCAATACTTTGAATCAGAGCAACAGGGATTATGTCAGTGTTTTTGAAATGCTTGGAACAAAATATTCCATCTCTGCACTATTTCTGATGCATTTGCATACACACACTTCTTGTCTTTCTTGGACACCCTTTTCCCCCCCTTCCTTTCCCTTTTCACCTCTTCTTTTCCATTTCCATCAAAGACTATCAGTCATTTCTCACTTATTAACAGGAGTAGACCAGAAAAGATGCTGCTCCTCTCAGGTTAAAACCCTGTGACTTACAAGGCAGATAGCAAAGATGACACTCTTTCCAAAGATTATGTGATCGCTTAATAGGCATCTAACATTTTAAGCAGACTTAATGACATTAGCTTACCAGGGAGGTGTGAGCTATTGCTTGCACAACAGCACTGAAGACTTTCTGGGGCAGGCGGAGAAGCGTGGTTCCACTGTCCACTATTGCTTTATCAGCATTATACTAGGGAGGGGGAAAAAAGGAGAGAAGTTATGCACCGTAACTTAAGGTAATGCAGATTCCACTGTTTCACAACAATAACAAAGCTGTTCCTTTTTGGTAGCTGTCTTCCCAAACCTGCATGTCATATCTGTCAGCAGCTCTCTCTAGTGGATAGCTTGAATTCAAATGAAGTCTGAGAGCAACAGCCTGGCCTCACGAGTGAGTTTATCTGCACCACTCAAGACATCACTGTGTGTCACCACTGCTGGTGCAAATGGCCAAACCACTGCAAAGAGAAAATCCTGTCCCCTCTCAGGGGTGTGAGCTAATCCACTTTACCTCCCACATGCTTTGGGCAAAAGCACTCCCAGGGTCCGTACAGGTGCCAAGCATGCTGATGTAGCTTACACATACATCCAAGCCCTCAACCAAGGCCTCTGCTATCGTGGAAACAACTCACTCATGTTTAAACACAATACAGCAGCCTACTTTCAATGACCGGCCTAACTTAAGAATAGTCAGGGAGCATAAGGCCTCATTAGTTGTCACGTTTGGTACTGGCTCAAGAATACAAATGCCAAATGCCACACCTTTCTCTCTTGACCGCGGAAAACCACTAATTATGTCTAAAGAACAAAGTTAAAACCAGATGTCTTGACTCAGTGTGTCTCGCACACCGGGTGAAGAACCCTCATTGAGGGCTGATGCTAAAACACTGACAAAAACAAGTACAAAGGAACATAAAATCTCAATTTTGCTGCCTCAAAAATATACACAAGAAAGCTAAGCAAACATTTATCTTCATTATTAAACCCCCAACTCTCAGATTAAGGGATTTCATTAAACTTCAGATACAGTAAAAAACGGAATAAATGTTTTAAAAGGTGCATTTTTTTCATGAACTCCTTAAAAATGATGATTAATTGTAAAAAAAAAAAGGGCAAGTAGCAATGGCAGCTGTTTGCATTAACTACTTTTGTTGTCACCAGCTTAGGCAGCAGGATCAACATAACTGAACAGTGACACGTTTATGGCACAATCATAACAAAGAAACATACAGCACAAGCTTTTTAGAAAGAGGTCAAACAGCAAGTGAATTTAAAATACATTGGTTTAGATGTTATCAAGCCATATGAAATAGCTTTAGCGCAGTGACAAAAATAAAACCCACCAAAAAGTGAAAAAGTGACTCAATTATTTTTTATTTTTTTTTTTGAAAGAAGAGCTGCTATAGGCTGCCAGGCAGAGATTAAAGGAAAGCAAACAGGAAACCATTTATTATACACTCAGAAATACTTCTAAGGAGTGGAGAGAAATATCAAGGCATTGTGGGGTCCATTTTAATAGATCTGTACTGCAAATACACAATCACCAGCATCCTGGAGAGCCATCCTTGCAAATAAAAGTAGGTAGGAGGCACAGCCAAAAGAGACAACCACTAACATAAACCCATGCAAAATGCCTGGGGTACCAGGATCGCGCAGCCAGGGATTATCACCTGGATTTTCACGCTACGTAGAGTGTACTGTAACTTTGTGCCTTCTTAGTCTTCCTGGTTAATATTTAGCAGTGCAGCTTAAGCACTGCCAGCAGCTCAGTACTTCTCTCAGCCCTGGCCTGCCAGGCTCAAGGCCACGGCTGCAGCGTGACATTGGACAGATTCCCGGCATTGAAGCGGGGGTCTACTTTGCTCTTGCAAGGAAAGGAGTAGTCTCTGGTGACGGTCACAAAAAATGTTCCATTTCCTAGAAAACAACTAAGAGGAGAGAGGGCACATAGTTCATCGCCCTGTACAGTGAATTATGCTTCCTCTGCAAGCCCCTAACTAGCCAAATTTTAACTGTACTAGCCCTAATTTACTATTCTTCCCCTAAATTTTTGCGGGGACATCTCCTTTGATCACGAAAGGAATGATGCCTTTTGTACCAGCGAGTAGCATGCTGTGCTCATACATACTCTGTTAAAGCAAACCCTGGCTCAGAAAAGAGCGACAATAACAGGAAACTTTCGTAACACCGCTAGGTTTTAAAGTGAGTTGTTTTCTGGAAACAGCATGTATTAAACCATTAGCACAAGGGCTCCTCTTCGAAAACATGTTGATTGTTTTTTAAGGCAAGAAAGAGAAGCAACACAAACATTTATGTTAAAAGGACGAGCAGTTTTGCCTTCCTAACAACACAACAGAGAGAGAGACATTTAAATAGACCTTGCTTTGCTTATTAAGTTGAAAGATGACATGACTCGTTTTAAATATTTTATATGGCAATATGATTTCTGTATTTTGTGCAGAAATACAATATTTATGCACATGTAAGATTTTTGTCATGAATTTCACTTAATTTGCATGACCTACAAAAACTTCAGAATTATCATGTTCTAATGATTTCCAATTAAGAGAGCAAGCACAAGATAAAATTAAGATGTCTAATGAAAACAGGGCATGAAAATTATAGAACTAAAATCAAAACATGAATAGCAACAACCTACAGCAAGAAACAAATGAAACACACACTACACACATCCTCCAGAAAAAAAATGAAACTGCACTGGAGTAAAAATGGCAACAACCCAGTCTCATTAGACTGATCAGGAGACAGCTGAACATTATTCCTAACAAAAACAGAAAACATATCCATCAGGAACAATAATTAGGAAGGCTGAAGCAAGCAAAAGTGGATTACAAAAATTAGAAAAGGAGGCAAGGGATGAGGTACTTTGGGAAGGCTCCCTGGATGACACCTGCCCACTGCCATCACGAATTACATGCTTAGACATATCCACAGAGGTCAATCCAAAATTTTCCCTTTTCTTTCTTCGACCAGAATTATCTCAAAACTCTTTGGTTTGATTGTACTGTGTAAACTGTAGTTGCTTAAAGACTGTTGTCTCCTTGAATCTTCAGAGTTTAGACACCTTTGTTACAAATGAAACTAGTCAAGAGGTTGAGCCCTTCCAAATCACATCAGCAGTATTTTCAGTGGACTGTTCACTACATAATTGTAGCTTAGTCCCTAATTTAGTAAAAATACTAGAAATGACTTTAAAGTCCTCTTTGAAGCAATTTCAGCATGCTTCATGCACACACTACATTTCACATGGCTTGCTGATTTCTTTGCAAAGTTACCGTGCAGCCTTAATTCTTGGAGGAAAACACAATACAGATCTGCTTGTAAAGACAAAACTGATCAATTACATGTTTTTCTTAACCAAGCTTGCATTTTATATAGACAGAAACACATTATTGCAAATACCTCTCTGCAGTCCAATTCGAGGTTCTGTCCTCCAACCTCCAGTTTGAGGATTTCAACCTGGTAATACCACTCCTCTTTGACAGGTGTGTACCAAATATCACCCTTGTACAGACTTGGTTCAATTCCTCCCAGAACCTGAGGGAAAAGTGAAAGGAATTCACGTGCTTTAAAATCCCAGATGCCTAGTTTTGGGACAAGTACAGGAAAAAAGGAAAAACATTTAATTGCGATGCACAAGGCATCCAAATTTTAATTTAGCACCATTTGTATGGATTTTACTGACAAGTTCTCTGCCAATAATAAAGCAGTATGAAACATCTAGACATTAAGCAGATTGTGCTTCAGCCAACCAGAATTCCCATATTGGGCCAAATTACCAGCATCCTCATCTACAAGTTTACACTGATTCTCTTATGAAAGCTCAAAAATGTTGAAGTCAAGATGGTATCTTCAGTGGTTTAATCTAGGCGATGTTTAAAAATGGGACAGAATATTAAACTTGCACATCATAAATTCACTTTATCAGATCAGGAAAGCCTTAATAACTGCTCAAAAATATTCCTTTTTTTTTTTTTTTTTTTCCCCACATCCACAATGGTATATGACCATCCTATCATTGCTATCACTATTAACTTCAAACTTACATTGAAGCTGACTGGGAGCATACTAGACCAGCAGACTTTGAACTGAATTAACATAAGCAAGTTTCCCATGGGCTTCATCTGTATCAAGTGTGTTAACATTTACAGTATGTGAATTCACAGCAAAATAACTATTTGTGATCAACACTTGTGCTGATATGCTTATTTCAGCACAATTCGGGAACAGTCATTCCAAGATAAATAATGGCCAATTCTTGGTCCCACTAAAACTGATGGAAGGTCTTTCCAGAGTAACAAGCAGAAGATCTGATCTTCAGACTTTTTCCTGTAATATGTTGTTTACAAAAAAAGGAAAAGAGCCTTGATTCCTCTCCCCCTTTTCACATCATGTAAAAAAAATACTGTAGCATTTTTATTAGCAGCTGAGTAAGGGACTACTCAGTTTGAGAAAGGCAGTAGAATCTGGCTTTCTTTATTAAGATTAAACTTGAAATGCAGAACTTTACTCAAACTTGAGAGAGAAAAAGGAATGAAGAATGAAAATAAACAGACACTTTAGTTTTGCCTAAATGCTTAACTTTTCCTCAAAAAAATATAAAACATTTCATATAAGTAAACGCTAAATTTGGAAGAAGTAGGATAGTCATAGAAAAGAGGGAGAGAGGTTAACAAAGATACATCTTCCCTCTCAGATTGACAGATACCCACAAGACTACCTCCGTTGGTACCACTTCCAGAAACAGGCAGTCCAGCACCACACATCTGCAAGGAGAAAATGTTGGGGATCTTTGCCTGCCTCACAAGAGAATCAAAGAACGTCTCCACAGAACTTGAAGGCTTGAAGGTGTCGAAAAACAAAACAAAAAACAAAAGAATTGCAGAAGTATTCATTAAAAAGTTTCTTTGCAGAAATGAGCCAATCATTCAAACAAGACCACTTTTCATGAGTAAATTGAATTTCTGACAACCAGGTGATGAAAATTCTACATATAATAAGTCATTAAAAACCCAACATCTGTCATTTTTCTGTTTCTGTTGTTTTTAAAAACACTTTTACTCTTGACCACTGTCATAGAAATCCCTAAAGCACGAGAGTATTTTTCAGTTGTAGTTTTAAACTCAAATGCTAGTTTCAGGCAGAAACTCTCACCAATGCTTTCTGTTTGGAAAAGGCTTTGGATTATTAGAACAGTCAAATGTAGCTTGCCCTTCCCACCTTTCCACAGTTAAAAGGCAGAACTTGAAAGTGAAGATTTTCAGTTTTTACACACAGTTTAATTCTAATGAACTTTGAATTCAATTGCCCTTAGTTCCTCTTCTTTCTTTTCAGGAACTTCATATCCAAGCACACTCACTTCAACTGATTACTGGCCAGCAGGTTCTTTCCTACACTGCATGTCATGCTTGTCTTTGCAGTTATCAGAGCACTGCAATTTCATTGTAATTCAGACTTCTGTTCAAGTATATCTCATGACAGGCAGAGACCCCGGCTGGTTTGCGAGATGCCAAGTGCTCTTACTACACAAAGCACAGAGCAGCCTCAGAAGCCGGCAACACTTAAGTCTTTGGAAGAAGGGGAAAATAAATGCCCTGAATACATTATTTGCCCAAGCCAGAGTTTGAGAAGCAGCTCTTCTCTGTCTGTCTGTTGACAGTGTATGACGGCAAGGACAGCAGAAGTCAATACAACGATCATGCAACTCTTGAATAAAGCCTTTTAATTACAGAGTAGGCAGACAGTACTGAATCATTTGTTCTTATGGGATATATCTCAGTTTGTGAATTTCTCAGACAGTTATGTGTAGGTTGAAAACTATGGCTATGTAGTAGTTCAATCATAGTTTTCAGTGTTCCGTTTTAGATTATAAGGTTTTAAATTTCAGACTAAAAATTTTAGGTTTTAATTTAAACATCTACCTGAATTTCCTACCTCCATATGAACAGGATGTACTTGGTTTAATGTTCATATAAACACTATAGCTAATATTTGGTCTGAAATTATCCATATATGCCCTCCATCTTAACTTCTACTTGATGAATGGACAGTGTCGTCGAATGAACTGTCAAGGGCTTTGCCAACAGAGTCCATCAGTCATTGATAAGTCTTGAGGTAGATCATCACAACATTCATAAATTCCCTCTACACGCATACCAGAAGCCTGTACTCCCATCCTCTGGTACTACAAACTCCTTATTTGTTCCAGAGGAGCTAAAATTGGAGCCTTCATCACCAGAAAAGCCTAAATCCATATATGGGACTGTGGCACCATTACAACCCAGTTTATTCTTTCTGGAACTTAACAAACACAAAAGATCCATAGGAAAGATTGGGTGGAAGGGAAGAGTCTAATGCTGACAGATCATCTACACTCTGCATTTTAATAGCTAGGGAAAGGGTGACTTACCTTGGCTAAGGCATCGTAGGCAAGACCAAGAATCCCGTGCCATTTAACACCTGGTAAGAAGAAATTCTCTGATTGAAGAATGGTAGCAATGTTGATGGTGTAGCTGCCATCAATTCCTTTTGGAATAGTAATGACGTCTGTACCCAGCACTCCAGTCCAGCTTCCTTGACTGTACTTAACTGTGACATCGATCCCTTGAGATTTGTATGTACTTGACCTTTAAAAGGAAAAGATACACTTATGCATGAGATGTTAATTCACAATGCGAGACAACAGAATATATTCAATCTTAATTTTTCCCAGAGAGAAAAAAAAGTGAAGTCTGCAAAGTCGATTGCATATACTCACAGAAGAAGGGGAATGGATTGCAAAAGCAGTAAAAAAACCCCAGCAGTAATAGAAAAATCCTTGAGGCCTTGTTTTCATGATGAAGCCATCAATGACTCACGTCTTCACAATGTATCTAGGGTTTTTTTGTGGTTTTGTTTTGGTTTGGTTTTTTTTTTTGTTTTTTGTTTTTTTAAATCTAAGGTATTATGCTACTGCATTATGTCCCTCACTCAGACTGGTCCATCATAATACAAACAATTCTCTTTAATTGGAGATGGAACATATTAAGTGGTGCTAGGAAATTAAAAGCTTCTGAATTCAAATCTAAAACCAACTGCCAGGCTAACTGAATAGCTTTAGACTAATACCTCATCAATATTATTAAAAATTAATTTGGGGTAAATTGGAATATTACTGTGAGTATCAGCAGTAAGACACAGGTTTTCTAAATCTGCAGTTTGGTCTATGTATCAGGAAGTAAGTAGATTTGGATATTATTAACAAATGATTCACTGGGTTGGAGGAAAGGAAGGGGTTCCTTCTAGACCAGGGCAGCAAAGGCAAAGGAACAGTTAAGTATGACAAGCAAAGAAAGGAAAAGAGCTTGTTTTGAAGGCTTAACAAAAATGTGAGAAAAAACATCAATAGATCTTTTCATTTTAAAATCCTGTAGTATAAACATAGTAATCATCTTCCTCATCACTTCTGAAGAGCTACAAAACTCCTAGACTTGTTACGGTCATTTTGGTCCCATTCCTTGGCATACAACTTCCCCTTCTGAAGAGGCAGATGACCATGCTTGATTGATCCAAACAGACTTTTAGTTTAACAATGTTTTTAAAAGTAAATTAAAAAAACCCAAAACAATCATAACACCACCTTTACATGTTTGTAGAACAATAGAATGTGTGGGTGATTTATCAAGTATGGTCAGTTTTTTCAAGCAGCTTTTATCTAACATCTGCTCTGACCAGAAACATGAGGAGGTTTCAGAGCCCCCTGTGCCTGAGCTCATCAGAATGAAGTCAGTGTGATTTTTGCCTATCATGGGGAACAACCTTCAGATTGCAATGCACTCCCACCCATTCAAGCAGACACTTTATCTTGAAGGACAATTTCACCATATGGACCATGCGACTGATCCTCTTCTAGCTAAGGGAGGGTGGGGAGTAGTAAGAGGCCAGGCTCTAAGCCTAAGCAGTTCTTGATACTCCCAACACCTAGCCCTCCTGGGGCATTCACAGCCCAGTAGCTTATTACATCCAAGACAGCAGAAATAAATGAGGTAATGGCTCCAGTAACTATATTTCAAAATCATGAATTCCAGAGATGCTGTTACTATCTGTACCTGGTTACTGCTACTGCCGTTTTACCTTTCCAGATAATTCTGCATTTGTATGACACTTAGACAAAGGGACATCTCTGCTCAGGCAGGGTCTTCAGAGTACCAGTGTGATACTAGCAGTACATTTTATAAATCAAAATAGAATCTGAATAATTAGTGATATAAGAGAAAATAGGGAATGGCAGGAAAAGGAAGGGAAAATACAGGGCTCTTCATGTAGAAAAGTGTCTGGCTGTGCAGCAGAAGAGGAAACATCTGAAATCAGAGAGAAAAGTGAGCGCTGGGAGAATAAAGTGATGTGAATCTGCAAATACAGACTCTGCATGACTAGCAACAGCAGCAGAATATAGCTCTTCTTCCATAAGCAGTAAGAGCCTGATGGATTGGGCTGTGGACCAGGACACAGAAAGACTCTACTTGTTTTCCAGCACTGCTGGTCAGCTTCCCTGTGGAAAGGCAGGACAAGTCACCTCCTCACCCTCTGTGCCTCAGCTTCCCCACCTGTAGAAATGGGTATGAGAATACTCATTTGCTTTGTAAAGTGCACAAACGTTGTATTGAAGAGAAGGTCTTATCACTTCCTTCAAGCAGCAAAATACCTAGTGTGGGAAGGGATCTCACATGATCCTTGTAGACTATATTCTGTTCTGCAAAACCAGTTCCTGCTCCATCTTCTTGACTGTAATCAGCCCGTGTTTGTCCATCTCACTGATCCAAAGGAAGAAAACTTTAGAGGTGAAAACTAGAGACTTGCTCATTCATAGGCTGAATGTTTTAAATGAACACACACCACAAAAAAGATTCCAAACAAACCATTGTGGCTACGATAAGAAAATAAGAAATTAAACTTTTCTGGCAGGACAGAGTATATCTTCACCAGAGGCAAGGAAAATGGCCTCTTAGATTATGGTGCTGTAGTGTCACTACTTCCTTCTCCGTCTCCTTTCTGGTTTCTATCTCTCTCCAAAACAGTCAACAGAAAGGTGGTCTTCAAACCTCATCTCAAAAAACTAGCAAGAGGTTCATTTTCGCATGCAGAATTACTCTTCATTACCAGATTACAGCATTGAACAAAACATTGACAAAATATTATGCTCAACACAGTAACAGCAAATGCACTGCACAGAAACCCCTGCTTAACACTGACCTCACCAAACACATGCAATTCCTTCCTAAGTCCATCGTCTCCTAGCTCACTTGCCACCCTGCAACAAACCAGAACTTCAGATTTTCCTACTTACCCACTCACTTTTCCCTAAGCACCAATCAATGTCTCCATGAACAGCAATGGCAAAGAAGGGACAGAAAACACCAATAGACCAAAAAATCTGAACAGAAGTTTTGATCCCTTCTCTAGTGAAGATGGATGGCACAAAACCTAGTTGTCTAAAGACTCTTCCACAACATATATTACTGTTTTTTAACCAATTAGTCCCATCTAATTTGCAGGGGTTCTGGGACAAGCTTATAATTTCCCTCAAGCCATAAACTGTACACCATATACAACCAAACTTGCGGGATCATACAGCAAAGCAGAAGCTTACTTTTTCTTGCTGGTATATAACTTATTGTATTACCTCAATTTATTGCCCATAATTTTCTTACATTCCTATCTCTTGGAATGATCATCTCTTGAGCAGTTTATTCTTGAAACTTTAGATGGTGAAGCAGTAGTACTCAAACTGAAATAAAACTGAATACTGTTGCTGAACACTGACAGCTCTGAGTTTGTCACTGTCTCACATACTGCTACAGAGCCATCACTGATAATTTAGTTTCAAGTGTAAAAATCCCTTTATACATCTGTTTAAGTAGTTCTTTTATTGTAAGTAGCGTATTCAACAAAAACTACTTGTTATTTTGAACAGCACGAGAAATAAAAGCTGTGATTTCTTTTCAGTTTGGGACAAATTAGGCCATTTCCCAAAACCTTATACATCATGGTGACTTGTACAGCATGATGACCACAGCAGATTGAGAACTTTTCACAACAAAGTTTTGTCAGAGCCACTAAAAGCCCAAGTTGTGATAGAGTTCATGATAATAGCTTTATTAATTTTGTACAGAAAGACCCAGATAATTAAATAGTAGACTTATATGACATGGATTACATGACACACAACATCATTTAACAAGCTAGTTCTAAAACTGCTCAAGGAGGGCTCTTCCTGAATAACACACCCTCTGGGTCCTTTGAAACTAAGATAATGCCTTTCCTATGCATTTTCCTCAATTTCAGTCAAAAAACAATCATGCATTTAATTTCAAATTTTGATCATTTGAATAACATTAAACTAAGAGCATGGCAATCAGGAAATTCAACCCATCACTCTCTTTCTCCAACACAACATTAATATTCTAATAAGCATGCATCTATAACTCAGTCCCATTAACTTAACAAATTACTAATCCTTCTCTCCCCTCGTCTTCAATTTGCAGTTTATGACTTTGATATGGAAGCACTTCGTGACAATATAGGGAAAAACTGCAGGAATAATTACCACATGAGAGAAAACCTCTTTATCTAATTTTGAAGTGTTCCACATAGTGTGGAAGAAAAGTGCCCATAGGTCATTTGTCTCATTTACACATGGGTAAAGGTCACTCTTAGGTAATTTTACAGATCCAGCTGCTGTGATATCAAGGCCCCTGTCTACCATCTATGCAAAATCATGACAACCAGGAAAGGTAACCTGACTACTGGGAAAAGACTATCATAAGACCAGGCTCAAAAAGAGATGAGGGCCCAGGGGCCCAAGGCCACTAGGCTTCACCTCAAGTCAGGAAAAGACTCAGAGAAAACCTCCTGGAATCCGTACTCAAGCACATGAAGGACAAGAAGGTAATCAAGGTTATTCAACAAGGAATTTCACAGGCGTATCATACCTGACCAACCACATAGCCTTCTACAACAAGATGACTGGCTAAGCAGATGAGGAAAGTGCAGTGGCTATAGCCCATCTTGACTTCTGTAACACTTTTGACACCATCTACAATGGCATTCCCATTTGGAAGATGAGGATGTAAGGCTGAACAGACAGATCGCTGTGTGGGTTGAAGATGGGCTAGGCCACTGGACCCAAAGGACAGTGACCATTGACTCAACATCAGGCTTATGAAAAGAATAGTGCCCCAGGGGTTGTGAGTGGAGGAAAAATTGTTCAATATCTTCATCAAGAAACTACACAATGGACAGACTGCAGCCTCAGGTGATCTGCACAGGACATTACATCAAGGGAAGTAGTTCATGTGCTGAATGGTAAAGCTTGAATCCAAAGGAACCTTGTAGGAGGATTTGGCCAACAGAAACCTCCTGGCTTTCAGCAAGGAGAAGCACAAAGGCTTGTCACTGAGAGGGAACAACTCCATGCATCAGGACAGACTGGGAAGCAACTGAAAAGGACTCAAAAGAATCTGGGGTGATGGTGGACACTAGGCTGAATAAGAGTCAACACCGTACTTGCCCTGTGCGTACAGCAAACTCTACACCAGGCTGCATTTGGACAGCCGTGGACAACATATCCAAGGAAGATGCTCTCCCTCTCTGGCCAGCACCGGTGATCGCACCCAGAATAGACTGTGGCCAGCTGTGGGAACCCGGTTCAACCGGGACCTGGAGAAAAAGAAGAGGGACTGGCAGAGGGCTACCAGATAGGTCGAGGACCATGAACACAAGACCTGTAATTAGAACCTGAAGGGAGCTGGGCTTCAGTTTTGCAGACGAGGCTAAGGGGACATCTTACAGCAGCTTAACAGCAACTTGAGAGACAGTTATAAAGATGACACAACCAAACTTTTCTCTGTAGTGCCAGATACTAACATAAGGAGTTACATTTTGTGAGGACATTAGGAAATATTTCCTCTGCAGGAGAGCATGGCATAGCACTGAAATACACTGCCCAGAGAGAGAACGGATTCTCCATCCTCAGAGGTTTACAGAAGGACTTGGATGGACTCAGCCATGGCTGAACTGATCTGATGACAGACCTTTCTCATTTGGGATATGTAGAAAGTGACCTACAGACATTTCTTGCAAACAAAGTTTTTGAAACATCTGACTGATTTCAGTGGGACCAGGATGCCTCCCAGGTGACATTTATTTAAATGTATTTAAAATACTTAAAATGGAAGAAGCATGGTATAGCCAGGTTCAAGCATGTGAACGGTTGTACTTTATTTTGAGCATATTGCAGTACTCTATCAATCCAACCCAAACCAGAAACTGCTATTGCAATTGCTCTGGTCTGTAATGACTGGAATTCGAATCATTTTACAAAGCAGCCTTAACTCTTCAGGGCCTAAATTTCAAGGTTTCGTTATTAACTTTATATCAAAGTTCTCAAACACAGTGCACACTGAGAACACTGATAAGAGAGTGTAACCTTCAACTGATTTCACAGCCTTTCTCAACACAGAACCTCTGCTCTTGTTGCTGTTTCTAATAGTTTATGGTTCTCATGAGAGAAGCCTTGCCCTTCCAGACAAAATAACATCACTTCAGAGAGAATGGATAACAAATGCTTGTGCTTTTAATTCCTTGCAATTAAGTTTTCTCTAGCCACTACCTATGGAAGGGCATAGCTGGCATATAAAACTCTACAGTAGTGCAGAAATGGCTTTCGAGTGCAAATTCTGGACTTTCCAGACCTGTGTTATATCAGAGTGAGATGTGAAATATCTCCATTAATGCCTAAATCTGTGATAGAAGGTAAGGCTATTCTAGTAAGCAGCATGGGAATACCAGCTTTCCCCCCATTACCAGTGCATCTTATTGGAAAAAAAAATGCAACCCCCCTGTTAAAATACATAAAGACATAACGAGAATGATGATATTCTCCAGCCTTCCAGTCCCTCTGTGTATTTTCATCCATATGCTTCAACTAAAGATAGATCCTGTGTTTTGGAGAGGTTTACCTGAAATAATTGAAACTAGAGAAGGGCAGAAAGGAAGGAAGAAAGAAGAGAGGGTGATTCAGGCAGACAAAGCTGTACTTGGCTGTAACTAATGTCAGTTTATGCTAAACACAGCAAAGTTAGTGCATAACAAGCACCAAAGCCACCAAGTCATATCTTAAAAACAACCAGATTCAGCAGGGCCTGTTCAGATCACTAACTGATCAAGGTCCTCAGCCAAACCAAGCAACAAAGTAGTTTTTGACTAATTTTGGTTTTGGATGTAATGTCAAGTAACAGATACAATTACTGGGGTTTAATTTTTGTTTTTTTAACAAAGTGGAAGGGTATTAAAAGTTTAAATTTCTTCCAAAACTATTTGGATAATAAATTGGCTGAAATTAGTGTGCAACCTGCTCTAGGAGGCCCTGCTCTGGCTGGGGGGTTGGACTAGATGATCTCCAGGGGTCCCTTCCAACCCCATATAATTCTGTGATTCTGTGACTTTGCAAACAGTTTTTATCCTGTCGTCTTCTTCCCTTTTCTCCAGCTCTGATCAGTGCTGCGCTCGGAGCTCACTTGCGCTGCCAAGAGTAGGACTGTTCATGGTGTCAGGCAGGACTCCACATCAGGCCAGGCCAATCTTCCCATTCAGGGAACAAACATCACACTCTCATGGGATGTCACAGGAGTCTCACAAACTGCCTTATCATACTCTTGCATGGAGGAGCCCGAATCTAAAAGCCATCCTAACCCACCAAGGTGTGCAGAACAGGTACTTACAGCTCGGTATTGAAGTAGGAGGTGACATCAGGATCAGGCACACCTGCTACAGCAAAGTTACTGCTCCCAGTGTCAACCAGAATATTTAACTGCCGAAACAGAAGAAAGGAGAGGTGGTTTTCATATCCAACTAAACAAACAAACAAACAAACAAAATCATTAAACTTTTTGTCTAAACTACCTTCAATTTTAAAATGACGATGGAAGTTGTCCTGAAAAATGAATACGAAGTGTCACTTTTGGGAAAGATAGGCTGCTGGAGCCCCTTCAAAACAGCTGACCATGCTGACGTGCTTTAAAATAGCCATGTTCCTGGAAGGGGGAAAACCTGCCAAGCCCACATTCGCACAGCAGATGAATTCACAAGCATCTCAGATTTCTTTTTGGCCCAACCCATGTGTCTCGGCAACCTGGTTCGTCCAGGACACAGGCTGAATTGCGTACTGTTTAAAGCACTGTTTGCCTTAGAGCTTATGAGGTTTCTAGGTAGGGGCTGAGTGCAAGTCTGAGCAGAAATAAGCAGAAGCATGAAGCTGCCTTGTGGCTTGGAGAGCACAGGAACGTTGCCCAGTTCGTCCCGAGCAGCAGCAACCTACCTACTGCTCTCACTGCCTTTAAATAGGAGGATGGGAGATTTATAAACACCGTGAAAAGCATGGATTGAGAGGTGGCCTAAGAGCGGGCCACTGGTTCAGTTAATTGGGAGGACCATTTAGGCCAAAAATTGCCTAACAAAAAACCACACGGACAAAATGAGACACCTCCTTTCCCCATTTGGCTCAGGTCAGCAGGCTGGTTCACCACAGCTGCATGACAGTTTGTGCTAGCATGAATCAGAAGGTAACAGCACGGGAGCCAGCAGCCAGATGTGGGATCACCTCTGTCAGTGAGACCTTGAAACTACGGTGTCATTAAATGATAATTTAAGTCAGTCACAGAGACTGTACTGCTACCAAAAGCAGTGGTCACGCTTTTTTTTCTTGCTCTTGGCTGGATGCTTCCTGTGGCTTCTTGGCATAAACACTAGCACCCACGGGGCTGTACTGCAAATCAAATCAGGCTCCTCACCTACGGTTACCAAAAAAAATTAGTAATCTGCGGTATCAGACAGCTACTTGAAAAGAGATGGTAGGAACAGATACTACAAAAGGCTGATTGCCTCTTTTGGTGACAGTGTGGTCTCAGTTTGGACTAAAATGATTGTGAAATTATGCCCTAGGCAGTAAGGGACACCTGCTCCCCAGAAAAATACTAAGGAATTAAGAATTTTCCTGTAGGTGGGAGCGAGACATCAGGACTGGGCTGCCTGTGGTTTGACTCTAGCTCGAACCAGCCACTTTGGTGGTCCTCATCGCTCCTTAAGACGTGAGGCAATTAGAGATCTCGCACTGCCTTACTGCATCCAAGATTTTAGATTAAGTGGAAACAATACATCGCAATTATTTTGCAACCACATACACAGACATTCAAACACATATCTTTAAAAGCAAAAGGACACCTACAAGCTCACTTGGCTCTAGGAGCTGAGGCTTTAAAAGAAAGTAAGAACATCTGAGGCATGACTTGCAATAAAATCCAAAGTTCGCTGCATACTAGATTTCAATGATATCTAAAGCCTAACATTTTGTCAACTACCTAGCAAAGGAATAACTAATCATTTTTTCCCCTCTCTGGTATAAAAATTATATTAAAAATAAATAACAAAGAGCAGCTACAATGTGTGCATCTACCAGGACTAACAAAAGTTGCCTCGAAGGGGTGCTGCAGGGCTTAAATTAATTAGCTTTTCCAAGGCAGTCTGTGATGCTTGAGTAATGGGCACTATATATCAGCTGCATAAATACACGTAGGTGTTGCCCTAGCTTCAGTAATATTCATGACACCATACACGGAGCAGTGCTTGGAGGGGAAAAAACCAAAACCAAGAAAGACCCCAATCACTAAATATGACATACATGAAAGATACTTTACCCCCACACCTGAAATACAATGTTATCATCACAGAATTCACAAATCACTGAAGAAAAGGGCAAATTTACTACCCACAGTACAGAGCAAATCAACATTTCCAAAAGAAAATAGATAGCCCCCACAAAAAAAAAAAAAAAAAAAAAAAAAAAAAAAAAAAAGAAGAAAATACAAAGCCAGCTAACCATGCAAGCCCCAGCCCACTCGGACACAGCAGCATTCACATGACAGATCGCTATTGAGGCTGACATTCTCTATCCGCATGTTTGTGCATAATGAGATGCAGGCGGCCAGGGCAGACACTGATTTATTGTAGTCCTCACAATAGCGCCAGTGATTAGCAGCTCATTTTGGGGTGGGTATAACTTACTGAGTTCTCTTTCTCTCCTGGCTACCCTTTGGGTCTGAATTTTCTTTAGTGCCTTCACGTCTCATTAAGAACCACTTTCATGTTGTCACCACTGGAGCCTACTTTATTCCATACTGCCTGCTGCCTGTTTAATGGTGCTGCTGGAGCAAGCCCTGGCGAGTCACCGGGTGGCAACCAAAGGAGCTATGGTCCAGGGCTGCCCGTCCTGCTCCATCTCCAGAGGTCAGCCCTGCCCTCTCCCAAAAGATGAAGCTAAATGCACTGGGCACTCACTCCCCAGCTGCTGTGTTCCACAGCATGGCTTACTAACAAAAACCAAAATCAACAGCACCTCCACTTGATCTACTGAGCTACGCACTGTGACAGCTGGAAAGTGGTCATACCTCTCTGCGCCTTTGCCTTTCTGCCATGGGGACAGAAGACCCTGATGCTGAGGCAGAGCCAACAATGGTGGAAGCGTCCTCTCCAGCTGCCTCCTCATGAAGCCCCAGAGACAGTGAATCTCACGGGCAGGTAGAGCAGGTTCCTTGGGTTTATTATGGACACCTGGAGCGAATCACTTCCTGTCACTGGGAGCTGATTATTTAGTGATCACCCTGTGTTGTCAGAAAGTGTCAGATGAAGTCAGATTTTGTGAAAGTCAAGGTCGGAGGGACACAGCTGAATGAAGCTGGGAAGGAAAAACTGCCCAAAGACTGCTGACGGATCACGTGCCCAGCATTAAAAACAAGAAAAGACTACTTTCTGTTCACTTTTGGAGGCACAGAAGGAAAGCCTTGGGGTTTTTTTTAATTGTGTCTTCCAAGTTCAATTTCAGACCTACACAGCAGAAAGCAGGCAGCAAGTGCAAAAGGCCACTTTTTTTCCCCTGAAGGTCACCTTTACCACAGCTGTGGGACATAAAATCTGTACCTAGTACCATACTTGGAGATTATTTTGCTGGATGCATTTCCTATATGGAAAAGTGTGAATAGTAGTAAGAGGTTCATAAAGATCCCGAGCTATAGAGTAAGCAAGATAGTAACATCCACCTCTGCCATGACAAACTTGCAGAGGAAATCTGACACTCCATCTATATGCCATTAAGTTGTGCTTATAAAAAGAAACAAATCCCAAAATGTTTACTGAAAGTCAAGAACATTGAAAGCAAAAGCCCCCTTAGGCCATGCATTTTACATATTATCTACTCTGAAGGGGTAGAGACACTGAAAAAAAAACCCCAGTAATGATTTATTTCAACTGGAAGTCAAACACATTGTCAATATTTCAAGGACCCCTCAAACTTTCCAGTGCTTGATTTAGCGCCAGCATCAAACAGAACTTACTGTCTGCTACCCTGGGTCAATAATGTAACTTACCATTATGTCTTTAATATTTTTAAGCTTTCAATTGCTGCATATTTTTGTATTTTGATATCAGAAAAAAAAAATTGCCTATTGATCTGTCATCTTTCTTTCATTCAGGAAAGCTTCATCTGCCTGTGGTTGAGGCACCTGCCCTATCTGTTACAGCAAGTGGCGTCAATACAACGTCATCAGCACTGGGCATTATCTATGCCTCATTTAACTGCCTGGTGAACAGCAATTTGCAGTTATCCCACCATGCATTCAGAAAGTGACTTCCTTCACATTTTCAAGGAAAAGTCATAAAATGTAGCAATTGTTCAATTTTTGCTGCAGAGAGGTTGCTAGCATTCTGTAGCAGGGGCAGACCTCGCCTCTGTTCTGATCTACACCTGCCTCAGAATTCGTGTAAGTTTCTCTTTCCCGTTTGAGTTTGAAGTTGGGAGGTTTTGGTAACTTTCAGAAAAATAAACAAAAGAAATCCCATAAGCTACAAGTGCATAATGCATTTCTTTGAAGCAGATCTCTGCATGATTTAGCATACACAGCCTTTTCCAGGAGTGGAATCCTATGGCTTGCATGCAACCCTGTCATGCTGTTACTTTTGATGCGATTCCCTGGGTAACCCATGCTATGCTGATGATAATCTTCATCCCTGTTAAATGTATTTGGTTCTTCATCCCTGCTTCAGCTGAAACATGGGAGAGAAAAAAAAAGGAGTAAGACTTGCACAGATAGAGCCATAAATATAATAATCAATCGCATTCAGCCTTGTGTTTACTCTGGGGTTCAGTCAAAAATCTTAATGATGGACAATGGATAGTTCCTACTGCACAAGCCAGCAGACCAAAGCAGCAGGCTCCTTAAGAGTTCATGATGAAAACTACAAGGGATGATGCCTTCTATGGGGTTTGAACTTGGCCCAAGAGCACCCTTTTCTTTGCCCTTCTCTCCCATCTCAAATAAAGAGAGCAACCAGTCCACACTAGTAACATTCATATGCTGTTCAGAATCTTGTCCTGCTGTGCTTTCATGACTTCTCCCACGCACACACTTAAAATAGGGCTTATAGTCCTACTCTGCTTGATGGAGTATGTCACACAGTGAACTATCACAAAGTAAAAAAAAAAATTTGTCCACATGTAGAGACTATAAATGGGAAGCATCCCATTGCCGGCTCATGAGCTGTTACCACACATCACGATGACGTACTGGCTTAGTAGATGTCCACCTCATCTAACAACCTCTGAACTTGTAACATCTCTTTACTCCCTCTCTTCCTTATTTTGTCCCACACATAATAAACCCTACAGAAAATAATTTGCTAGACAGTACTTAAAAAGAGGTGCAAACAAGTGCTATGTTTCTTGTTAGGGATTAGCAGCTAGAAATCATTTGGGTAACAGCTCTTCTTTTTCAAGCTGGTTATTAGATAGGCAAATTAGTTGCCAATTTAAATACTGCCTCATTTAACACAACAATTCCTAATTACATTATCAGCCCATCTGGCAAGAGCTGCTTACAACCATCACGCGAAAAAGAAAACACACTAGCAACTAGATGCTATGTTTGCCCACAGTCATTACGTGTTAAGCACTGACTGTCATTCAGGTTAGTTCAGCAATTTGTTTCTACAAATTAATAAAGTTACAATATACAGCAGCTTTTTAAGCAGAGATACTGTAGGCTTTTTTTTTTTTCCTGTATTACTTGGAATTAGCATTTACAGCCTACTTTCTAATAAACAAATTCAGAAGGCTAGGCTTTAATATAGCTTCTTCATCTGTTCCTCTTAAGATACAGAAATAAAACCTAATTAGAAGATGAGTTATAGGAATCTTTGGAAGCATTTCTAGATGCAAGAGCCTGCAAAGTTAGACACAAACTGAAAAAGCCTCCACAAGAACACATTTCTGCTTGCAGAATTATACGTATTTTGCTGAACAGGTAAGACTGAAACCAAAAAAGGGTAAGCTTGTTGGTCTGTACGACAGACTGGCACACTGCCCCTGAACACTGGGGCAGGGACGGGACTCTCCCATTTTCATTGATCATAAGCAGTCCCTGGACTGGAGCAGCCCAGTCCTCATTGTTCTGCAGCACTTCAGAGAATGGTTGAGGTGGGAAAAGACCTCTGGAGGTCATCCAGTATAACTCCCTGCTCAAGCAGGGCCACCTACAGCCAGCTGCCCAGGACCATGCCCAGATAGATTCAGAGTACCTCCAAGGATGAAGACTCCACAATGTCCTCGGGCAGCACACATCAGTGCTTGGTCACCCTCACAGTAAAAAAGTGTTTAGAAGGAACCCCTGTTTTTCTGTTTGCACCCACTGCCTCTGGTTTTGTTAGTGATCACTCTGGAAAGAGCCTGTCTCTGTCCTCTTTGCCCTCCCTTCAGGCATTTATATAGATCAGTGAGATCCACCTGAGCCTTCTCTTCTCCAGGCTGAGCAGTCCCAGCTCTCTCAGCCATTCCTCAGATGCTCCAATTCCTTAAATGTCTTCACGACCCTTCGCTGGACTCTCTCCAGCATGTCCAGTATGTCTCTCTTGTACTGGGGAGGCCAGAGCTAGACATAGCACTCCAGGTGTGGCCTCACCAGTGCCCAGTAGAGGAATTCAGAAAATAACTGAGCTTTTTGGCTGACAGCTGCATGGGCACTGGTAACACTGGAGAAGCACCCTACCAGAGCCGAACGACGCTCTGCAGCTTGGACAGCATCAAACCTCACCTTTGAGGAGGTGGAGGAGGAAGGGGGCAGCCCCACATGTTACGCCCAATCTGAGGAGAAGGACTACTTCTTGTGGTGCCCTGAGGGAGGTCACCTCACCAGTGAAAATAGACCTATTTGCTCCTACTTTCCCAAAAAATCCTCCTGTAGTTGTAAGAAGGGTTTAACCATGCAGCCGAGATAAGAGAGATGGTGTAAGAAAGAAAAATGGAATGGAAAATAATGATTTACTAATGGCATTTGTTCAGCGGGTGGTGCCTACGTTTCACTGCAACGTCACACTGGGGACGCAGGGGAAGGTGATTTACTGCAGCATGAAAATTCAGCCAAACAGGAAATCAAATATATCACCAAAGATAATTCCTGCTTTCGCAATGGCAGAAGTATGCGACAGAAACTGTGGCGTGTTTGTAGGTTGTGGACTAAGCAAGAGAACAAATGGCTAATGGAGCCTCTTACGGGCAGCAGCAGATCAAGCCCACCAGAACCTGTTTGGTGTTTGCAGCCATTCCCTTCATCACATTTCCAGCTGGCATCAGGATCTGGGATTTGAACCCATATCTATACTATCTTTACATTCACTCTCTTCTCCAGCCACCTAAAACACTCCTATCCCTTGACACTCTCACACCTGCACTGGGCCCAGCAGAAGACAGAGTCTTTGCCCTCAATCTTTTCAAGATCTGCACCGCTAGACTGGGAGGAATACTTTATTTTTTTTCTCTCTGAAAAGCAATAATCTCTTTCTTTGCCAGAAGATTACAAAGTACTATCTGGATTAGCCAATCTATCCGTGCTTAAGAGCGCTGCATGCTTCTGTAGTTGAGATTTGTATTAAAAACACAAATGCTAAAATGACTGATTGCGCTGAAGTATAAACTTGCTAAACTAAATCGTGAGTTGAAATATGAGCATCTGACTCTGGGACTGATGAATAGTCAATTTGAAGAGAAATATTACAGGAAGTGCTTTATATATATTATCATTTTGACAATAAGGGAGGGCTATTATGGTTTAAAGACAAAAAAAATAGTCAGCCAATCAATCCTGGTAACAAAACAAAATATCTATTCTTCATTTCTGCGCTCTCCTTTCTGCCAATGCCTTCAGTTCCCTAAACATTAGCATTCTTTCTGCACATGCTGTCTCATGTGGTATCTTATTTTTCAGGCTGAAATTTATTTGCTATGTCTAGATTTATGATACAACACATCCATCCTATTCATGCTATATGAACATGCTTTGCTGTTGAACATGAGCTATTACTTGCTTATCTTAGAGCTGTGTGAATCGTAGCAATTTTGTCTCATTGCCTTTTCAGAGAAGATTAAACTTTTTTTCCTCTTTTTTTTTTTTCCCCCCAGATACAAGTCCCTCTCCCATATCGCGCTCTAGAGCTGACAGAAAAATAGGTGTGTGAAGCAACCCTCTAGTTCACATAAACCAGCTACAGCTGAAGTCAAGCCTTGCTTTAGGTATTGGGTTTTAAGGAAAATCTGGGCTAGTTAGAGGAAGTTCAGTAACAACAATAATCCAGAGGTCTAGAAAAGTCTCACCTGTAAATAACCATTGTCAGGCTTGGACTGGTTTGATAAGACTGAGAACTGTGACAATCTTTTAACAGACGTATCGTTGCCACAGAGACCCCCTGGGAGCTGCATCTTCCAGAAAAAAGGGATTTCCTGTGAGCCGACTGGCATCTTCATCAATCGTTTCCATTGTAGCAGTAACGCACACTAACGTAAGGTAGACTGTTCATTCTTTCTAAAGCAATAGGGCACCTAGATGCTCAAAATCTAAGGAAAATCTATATATTTTCTATGTTTATACTAAACAAGTTCTTGAATTGAAAGATTAATGAGTGACTAGATAAATGGAAGATTAAAAAAACCCTACAAACACATGCTGAAATTCAAGAATGAATACAGGAGACATCACCTGTTTGTACTTAAGTACACACAGAGCTCTTGTTAAATCTGAAAGCATGCTTCCACCTGTTAGTAGGTGTATAGGAATTAAATCCATCAATTTTCTGCTAATTACAGTACAGCACTGATGAGACAAGGGAGACTGTAAGCCAAATGCCACTGGGACCAACTCTCATGTCTAACTGCAAGCCACATGAGGAATCCCAGTGCCCACACAGCCTTGATTTAGAGATAGGCTATGTCTAAGGTCTGTGCCACATCTGAATTAGTAAGCATCTAGTAATCCAGAGCTCATCCCTCCCTCCACAGAAAACACAGTTGCCAAAGATGTTAGAGATACAGCTACTAATTCAATAATTTAACAGTGAAAAAGAAACTGAAGAAACACCTGAAGTCTGTCTCTATCACCAGCTTGACACTCAGAGATACGCTTGTAAATGCCATGACAGATTTCAAGGTCACCTTCTCAACATAAACATCTTTCTCACTTTGAAACCACTGTGTGTAACCACTGCAAAGCAGACCTGCTGGGCTCTGCTCGGCAGGATTCTGAACTCTTTGGAGCAATGGCCAGCCACATCAGATGGCTACTCGTCCACAGAGCTATGGGCGCTGTAGGAGGACTTGAGGAGAGGGACAGCTTCTAGCTCTGTAGTAAATAGGAGGGTGACGGAGACAGGCAAAGGGCTGCACAACTGTATTTCACAATGCAGGGGCACGCACACCACCGGCCAGCAAAAAGGGGTTTTGCTGTCCCTAGACAGCTCCCTCAGCAAAGCCTCTATGCACCTCTGCCCTCATGCTTAACCACAGCCTGTCTCGTTTCATTCCTGAAGAAAACCACTGCCAATTTTTTTTTCAGTTGACCTGAAGCTAAACTTTCTCTGTAAAAAAAGGCAACCACCTCACTGAAAAAGAGCAAATCATCCACCTCAAGTGTCTTAGGTTAAATGTCTAAGTGGTGGGTTGACCTTGGCTGGACGCAAGGTGCCCACCGAAGCTGCTCTATCACTCAACCCTCCTCAATTGGAAAGGGGAGAGAAAATATAACAAAAGGCTCGTAGGTTGAGGCAAGGACAAGGAGAGATCACTCAGCAATTGCCGTCATGGGCAAAGCAGACTTGACTTGGGAAAAAAAAAAAAAAGTTTAATTTATTATCAATCAAATCAGAGTAGAATAATGAGAAATAAAAAACAAATCTTAAAAATACCTTCCTCCCAACCCTTCCCTTTTTCCTGGGCTCAATTTTACTCCTGATTTCTCTGCCTGCCCCCCTCAGGGGTGCAGGGGGACAGGGAATGGGGCTGCGGTCAGTCCACCACATGTTGTCTCTGCTGCTCCTTCCTCCTCAGGGGGAGGGCTCCTCACACTCTTCCAGCGTGGGGTCCCTCGCACAGAAGACAGTGGTCCATGAACATCTCCAACGTGAGTCCTTCCCATGGGCTGCAGTTCTTCATGAACTGCTCCAGCATGGGTCCCTTCCACAGGGTGCAGTCCTTCAGGAACAGACTGCTCCAGCATGGGTCCGCCATGGGGTCACAAGACCTGCCAGCAAACCTGCTCCAGCATGAGCTCCTCTCTCCATGGGGCCACAGCTCCTGCCAGGAGCCTGCTCCAGTGCAGGCTTCCTTTGGGGTCCCAGCCTCTTTCAGGCATCCACCTGCTCCAGCATGGGGTGCTCCACAGGCTGCAGGTGGATATCTGCACCACTGTTAACCTCTATGGGCTGCAGAGGGACAACCTGCCTCATCGTGGTTTTCACCATGGGCTGCAGGGGAGTCTCTGCTCCAGCACCTGGAGCACCATCTCCCCCTCCTTCTTCACTGACCTTGGTGTCTGCAGGGCTGCTTCTCTCACATATTCTCAC